GCTTTCCAAAACAGAAGGGCAGATACACTGGATTCTGTGCCAAATCTATTTCTTTATGCTATTATTACGAAGAAAACAGATCCTAGACCAGGAGTTATGGGCAGCTTTTCCATCTAAAAGCAATCAGTTAGACTATTTTACACTATGAGTTAGACTATTATACACGCGAAACTAAAGCCCCCCCCGTCCCCCACTCTGGCGCCGGCCTGAACAGAAGTTCACTTGACCACACAACAACACAATCTCAATGCTTGAGCTTGTACTACTTCTAACTTTTGTAATGATGTAATGATGTTTTAATCCAATACTGATCTAATCGATGCTATGTGTAAATTTTTTAGTAACTTTATTCAAGTGCAATGTGATTATAATATAAGGTTTTGATTGTACTTTTTTTAATGAAAATGAAATGATAAAAAGGGCAGAAAACAAAACAAAAAAATAGACATACACATCTGTAGCATTTGGACCAATCAGAGACACAACTATTTGTTATATTTAACAAATTATCTCAACCCTTATGGTCACAGATCACCTGGCAGTTGACAGCTGCAAAACCTTTGCGGCATATATATACATGGCCATCCACAGATGGTGTAAGGATCGGGATCATGGTACCATTGATCACTCCGATGACCTGTGGGATGTGATGATGCGATAAAAAATACTGTTGTATTTCTGTGATGTCCTATCTTGATGCTGGAAATTTAATGTGTTCTGCAGCAAGTGGAAGTAATGCATTGGTGACCGCTTGAACAGATCTTGATACTGATGCCTTACTTAGTCCAAGCCCATCACCAAGTACCTAAGGAAAACTGCCTGTTGCATAAAATCTCAAGGCTGCTAGGAGTTGGACTTCAGGGGACAAGGCAAAAATTTATCCTGTTGGCACGCATCAGCTGAGGTCCAATGCTATTCAGCAGTTGGACTATTTGTCCTCTTGGCAGACAGTATCTCCCAATTATAGCCATGTCATCAAGGATATCCAAGGAGTTTTGATGCTGTCTGATGAAGGCATTTAAAGTCACCCATCAACTTCGTGGTTGTCTCTGTCTTTGTCTTTCTCTGACCCTCAACTGAAGAACACGCTGTAGTGCAGCCATTATTTCCTTTGCAAGTCTAGTAAGGTGTAAACTCTATATACTATCCTAACTTACTTGAAGGAACCATGTGAAGGTTATCAGGCTGTGATAACTGCCTATCTGCCTATAATCAGTTTCAGTAATCACATTAGGCCTTGCTTTGAAGTTAGTGAAGGCGTGGCATGCTTAGAAATTATATAGATTACATCTTCCTTTAATCTGTCCTATGTTTGTAATGTTCATAATGACAAAAAGTTGTGCTTCTTATTAATATGTATACATAGAACAATGCTGGTAAAACATGTCTGCAATAAACTTTTTTTTTGTCTGTACCTGTAGAAATGTATTAGCTAGATGAAGTACATATATTTGTGCTACTGTCACCCTTAATATATAGACTTTATATATTAATAATATTGAAACTTACATGCTTATGTCTGAAAATAATCATCAATCATTAGCCATTCACTTCAGAAACACTTAGAAGAACTCATAAGATTTGTTATAGTATTTCATAGGGCTATAAGCCTTGTGTGGTTCAACAAACACATGGACATCAAAAACACTGCAACAACATAGTTTTATTCATTTGGGTTATTCAGTTCACCAGGACCCGCATATCATTGTACAGTGGGCTAAGTCATAACTACATATTGTCAGGGAGTCTCTGCCTTCACAGTCACCTACATCATCTCAGTCACCAGCCCTGACACACACCAGATCGCAATCACCAGAGTACTGATCACCCGCACCTGCAGAGACTCATTAAGCACACTATATCCCTGCACTCCTTTCACTGCCTCACTGTCCGGTCTACTCGCTTGAACTATACCTGACTCCTGCCTAATACTGACCTGTTGTTTACTTACCCCTAGAAGCTCCATCGATCCTGTTCTCCAACGATCCCGTTCTCATCCTCCCTGGATACCTGCAAAGGACGAACCATCTATTACCCAGAGCTAAGACCCCAAGAACTCTGTGTGTCTCTGGCTCGTAGTGTGACAGAAGACCGGAACAGGAACATACACCTCCATGGATTGCCGGATTTCCACTCCCGCAGAGGTACTTGAGGAACTGGTCAACACCCTCCAGGCCTCTCTCACGCCAGTCACTAATCTGCCTCTGTAAGTCCAATGGCCATTCCTGTTTCCTATGCTGGTGGCGCCGCTGAGTGCGGAGGCTTCCTCCTTCAAGTGGCACTGTTTATCGAGATGCAGCCGCAGAAATTCTGAACGGAGCGCTTGAAGGTAGCCTTCTTGATTTCCCTGCTAACTGACAAAGCACTGTTGTGGGCATGAGCAATATGGAATGCCAACAGTGCCATAATCAACTCATATGATGCTTTCACTAATCATTCAAGGAAGTGTTTGGCTCTGCTACAGGAATGCTGTCCATCTCAGACCAACTACTGTGGCTGCGTCAAGGCTCTTCTACCACCAGCAACTACAGTAGCACTTGAAAATCATTGTAGAACTATGAGTGCTCTGGAGTAATCGTAAAGCCTTAAGTGCATCGTAAAAAGACATAATTGTACTTTATTGTACGCTTTATTACTCTTTTTTTATGCTTCAAAGACTGGGAAAAATAGGGATAAACTAAAAAAAAATCTGTCAATGTCTTGCTGATGTGCACGAAAACCTGCCATGTATTGGGCATTTCTTGGCTGGCCATCATGTGGTCCCATGCCATCTTCGTCCTCCTCCTCCTCCACCACCTCTTCATCTTCCTCCCTGTTCAGTAAGTGCACTCTAATCTGCACTGCAATGATGTGCAGCATTGCTGTTTACTATTATTACTGCACAGCACTTTTGTGGAGCAAACAGTAGACCACAGCTGGACTGGTGAATAGCCAGAAAGTGCAGCTTCCACCTCCCTATTGTGCATTCCACAATACTACGTGTTAGTATTAGTACTATCATATGTTTGTAATGTTCATAATGACCAAAGGTTGAGCTTCTTATAAATATGTATACATAGAACACTGCTGGTAAACATGTCTGCAATAAACTTTTTTGTCTGTACCTGTAGAAATGTATTGGCTAGATGAAGTACATATATTTGTGCTACTGTCATCCTTAATATATAGACTTTATATATTAATAATTACATGCTTAACATGCTTATGTCTGAAAATAATCATCAATCATTAGCCATTCACTTCAGAAACACTTAGAAAGATTTGTTAGATTTGTTATAGTATTTCATAGGGCTATAAGCCTTGTGTGGTTCAACAAACACATGGACATCAAAAACATTGCAACAACATTTTATTAATTTGGATATTCAGTTGCCCAGGACCTACAAAATACATTGTACAGTGGGCTGAGTCATAACTACATATAGAAAACATTTCACATTGCACAAGAAATTACAGAAACTTAATGAATCCCCATTTAACAATAATCACATTACCTGACGATTCTGGCAAGATAATTGGCACAGAAATGGAGGGACTTGCAAACTTCATCTCCTTTAGTGCAAATCTCCTCTCTTACTGACCTGTTGTTTACTTACCCCTAGAAGCTCCATCGATCCTGTTCTCCAACGATCCCGTTCTCATCCTCCCCGGATACCTGCAAAGGACGAACCATCTATTACCCAGAGCTAAGACCCCAAGAACTCTGTGTGTCTCTGGCTCGTAGTGTGACAGAAGACCGGAACAGGAACATACACCTCCATGGATTGCCGGATTTCCACTCCCGCAGAGGTACTTGAGGAACTGGTCAACACCCTCCAGGCCTCTCTCACGCCAGTCACTAATCTGCCTCTGTAAGTCCAATGGCCATTCCTGTTTCCTATGCTGGTGGCGCCGCTGAGTGCGGAGGCTTCCTCCTTCAAGTGGCACTGTTTATCGAGATGCAGCCGCAGAAATTCTGAACGGAGCGCTTGAAGGTAGCCTTCTTGATTTCCCTGCTAACTGACAAAGCACTGTTGTGGGCATGAGCAATATGGAATGCCAACAGTGCCATAATCAACTCATATGATGCTTTCACTAATCATTCAAGGAAGTGTTTGGCTCTGCTACAGGAATGCTGTCCATCTCAGACCAACTACTGTGGCTGCGTCAAGGCTCTTCTACCACCAGCAACTACACCCTGCAATTTCGGACACTAGCGGCGACTCCACCAGTGATCCCCCAGTACCAGAACCGTCTTGTGTTGACCGTCTTCAGTAAGCAGGCAGCCACCCGCCTTCCACCTCATTGGCCATGGGACTGTGCCATCGGCCTGCTGCCTTGGGTGAAACTCCCTAAGGGTAGAGTTTACCCTCTGTCCCTTCATGGGCAAGAAAGACGGGGGCTTGAGGCCGTGTATCGATTATCGCACGCTGAACTCCCAGACGGTAAAGCTGCCATACCCACTTCCCCTGGTCCCAGCCGCCCTCGAGGAACTCCGTGGAGCCCGCATCTTCACCAAAGTTGGACCTGCGGAGCGCGTACAACCTCGTTCGTATCCGGGAAGGCGACGAGTGGAAGACTGCATTCATAACTCCAGCAGGCCACTATGAATATCGGGTCATGCCCTATGGCCTAGCTAACTCACCCTCCGTCTTCCAAGGCTTTATGAACAAGGTGTTCCAGGAGTTCCTTCACTGCTTCGTGATCGTCTATATCGACGATATCCTCATATACTCCCGGAACCTGGCCGAACATCGCCACCGCGTGAAGCAGGTCCTCTAGAGGCTCCGACAACATCACCTTTACCTTAAACTGGAGAAGTGCAAGTCCATCGCTCTACGGTTCAGTTCCTCGGTTACGTCATCAGCCAGGATGGGATTCAGATGGACTCCTGGAGCCCCAAGGCCCACGAAGCATTCGAACTACTCAGGGAAGCCTTCAGCACAGCCCCCATCCTTCGTCATCCCGATCCCCAAGCTCCCTTCGTGGTGGAAGTGGACGCCTCCACCACCGGAGTTGGGGCCGTGCTGTAGCAGCACTGTGGTGAGACTCCCAGCCTCCATATTTGCACTTACTTCTCCAGAAAACTGACCCCAGCGGAGCAAAACTACGACATCGGCAACCGGGAACTGCTCGCCATTAAATTAGCTCTGGAACAGTGGCGTCACTGGCTGGAGGGAGCCCACCATCCTTTCACTGTCATCACCAACCATAAAAATCTACAATATCTTAGAGATGCTAAAAGACTCAACCCACGTCAAGCCAGATGGGCATTGTTCTTCACTCAGTTCAAGTTAACCATCACTTACCGTCCTGGAGATCGCAACTGCAAAGCCGATGCCCTTTCACGCCTGCACTATCCCGACACACCTACCGAACTGGAACCCATTCTCCCTCCAGCCCTGATAGTCAGCCCCATTCAATGGAACATCTCCAAAGACATCCATGACGCCACTCTCACCGAGCCTGCTCAGCTGGGATGCCCAGAAGTGAAGACCTATGTCCCAACGTCACAACGCCAAACCCTTCTGGGCTCAGTTCACAGAGTACCGGGCTCTGGACACCCAGGCAGCAAACATACCCTCTTGCTCCTCCAAGCCCGGTACTGGTGGCCCAGTATGGCCCGGGATGTCACCAGGTACGTCCGAAGCTGCTCAGTCTGTGCCATGTCTCAAACTCCTCGTCATCTTCCCGTAGGCAACTTGTCCCGCTGCCCATACCACAGAGACTCTGGTCCCACATAGGAGTGGATTTCTTGACTGACCTACCCATCTCCAACGGAAACACCTGTATCCTCGTCGTAGTCGACTG